ACTGCAGCACCAACAGCAGCAGGAGCCGACGCCAGTGTCGCTGCCGTACCAGCTTCAGCAGCAGAAGCGGTAGCAGGATGATGTGTGATCCAGGCGCATGAGTAGCAGGAGCAATAGGAAGGGAGGAGACAGTGGAGGATGTGGTGGGATCAAGGGTCGGTGTCGTGGGTGGGTTCTCGTACTGGTAATCACTGGTATGTCCCGAAAATGTTCAGGGCTTCGGGTTTAGAGTTTGAGTTCTGGGATTTCGGGACCGTTGAACCTGGAGCACTGGCAAGCTCAGCGTGGCGCTTGTACTGGCCATCACTGCGCCTCGAAGGGCTTGTCGGGCTCGGGATTCGGGATCAGAGAAGGTGCTAAGTCGGAACATAGCGTACATAATATATTATGCTACTATATTACTATATTATACTATAACATATTGAAATATGACAGAATAGAATATGACATAATAGGGTATAGTCTAATATAGTATAGCATACATGAATCATGCTCTGTGTCCCCGCGGGCTGCTTTGCAGGTTGCAGAAGCAGCCCAACAACTTCTTCCCTAAACTCAAAAGCCAATAGCCATTGCAGGGGCCTCAGTCGTCAAAACAAGACTTTCGGGCATCTTGTAGTTCTTTCAAAATAGGAACCCTCAGAGACAATATTGGAAGTTACTTCAGCTTCTATCTTAGGCTGTAAACAATGGTTTCGAGGCTCCATGAAGAGAACCCTTAGACCAAAAGGCGCAGACAGACACGAGGTGCTCTGAACTCTATCCCGATACTTGGAACACTCAACTTGGCAAGTAGGTGATAAGTAGGGCCAGAAGTGCGAGAAACGTACCCTAAACCCTAAACCCTAAACCTGGAACCCTAAAAAACTACTTACAAGCTACTTACTCCATCGTCTGGGCCTTCAAGCAGGAGCGGCCTAGCCCTGATGGAAGATGAATGCGGTGGCAAGTAGCTATAGGCTTCCTTAAAGGGATCTACAGGGTTCAGGGTTTAGGGTACTACTTGGAGGATCAGGGGACTTCGTATCCCGCCTGTCGCTGCCCAACATGAATAAAGCTGCGATTTGCTTTCATGAAGCAGGTCGGCCCGTATGTCCAAGATACGAAAACTCCGTCAGTGCTATCAGGAACATAGCAGCATAGTTTATCGAGCGTGGCCACAAACAAACAAACTATCAAGCCCTAAACCTCAAAACTCGAATCCTGGAAGCCCTTGGGGATGCTTGGCTGCACGCTGTCAGCGTGTCCTTGCTAGAGCCATGGTGGACACGACATGGCGCATCGCATCCCCGTGCCAAGGTGGGGGGACTTTGCCTGAGGTTTCTTGCAAATGCTCAGAGATGCAGGGTTGGGCAAGGTGAAGGAGGGTGCTGGGCTAAAGCACAACATGGGCTGCAGAGCCGGTGTAATCCGGTATTCATGATTCCATACCAAAGATGTCCCACGTGTTGAACCGTGAACTGGATTTCGTACAAAAGTACTGTAACAAACCCCAGATGCTCCATGAAGCTGCGCATCAGCCGAAGCGTCCCGGTCAGTGCAATTGCAACCATCTCGCGGGTTCAAGAGGCAGGCGCAGCTCACGACAGTGGCGCTTCAAGAGAATATGTCGATGAACGATTGCATGCATCATGCGTCGAGTTGTGTTTCTGTCTAAAGCCATGACCCCAGAGAAGATCAAAAACTCCGGGCGAACATGGGCCTCTTGCGTTTCAGACCTAGACTCTGATTGGTGCCCTAGTGGAAGTTGACGAGAACTTGGCGATCGAGCAACCGAATCCCAGACCCCCTTTGGAGGATCCAAAAAGTAGATCCCTTAATGGGGGTTCCTATAAAGTACCCTTAGTAGTATAGGGCTCCAGATTTTCGGATCTACTTTCTAGATCCTCCCGGGGGTCTGGGATGATTGGGAATCTCTAGCCTCGCTCTTAGCGGAGTCGGTCGCAGAGGGATCCGACACGGCCGGCTGATCTTTTGCGCATCGTGGCCGCAACTCTCTCAGCGGCTGCCTCCGGCGTGAACCTGAGCTCTTCCAGCTTGGCGGCTTGAGGTAGGCTATATAATGGGTATATAATAGCTATATTAAGGGTATATACCTAGGGCTCCTTATTAAGGGTCCCTCCTTTCCCCGGAGTCTTCGGCATAGAATCCTCCGGTTTTTCGGCTTCTGCTCAGGACAAAAGAGGACAAGCTGACTAGGGGTTTCGGGTTTAGGGTTTAGGGGCTCCAAAATCATCCTGCCCACTGCCAAAAAGCTTGAAAATGCCCTCGGCCACAGTCCCGTACCAGCCCCGTCTGCCCGCGACACAGAATTCAGTGGAACAGCCAATGCTTGAATTTGATGAAGCGCATCTTAGTTATGGCACTCTGTGTGCGCCTCGGTGTAAGCTTCAGGGTTTGCGGAACGCGCCGCAGCGCGGGGCGTTCGAGGTCTGAGACTTGCAGCAAAGGCTCAGGGCTCGTGATTCTGCAGTTCGGCGCTGGAGATTTGTGTCCTGGGGCTAGGATCGGCAGAGAAGATGCTTTGCAAAACACTACCTTGTCTTATGTTATCCTAGATCATACTAGACTATGCTATGCTGTACCACTCTTATCTTAGGTTAGAGCATGGAAACAAACTCCAAGAACCCGAGTCCGAATCCTACCAGTCCAGCGTGGGGGAACCCCGAACCCAGGCAAGCATCCCAGAATCCACTTCTTCGGTGATCGTTTCGGCTTTTTGTTGAACCTTCGTGCCTTTTCGCCATCGTTTGGGTTTAGGGTTTAGGGGGGAAGCACTGCAGTCGATGCCGTTGAACTTCTTTTTGCGACAGTAACCACGACCCAGATTTATCCACTAAACCCGAAGGGCTGTCAAAAGGTGCTTTCAGCACCAGCGCACACCTTCATTCGAGTCACCCTAGACCCTGAAACCCTTAAAATCCTACCCTAAACCCTCAACAGTAAACCCGAAGCCGCCTCTCGCATTCAGGCCATTGCGATACGCGTCGCTAAACGATTGAAGGCCCGGGCGATGCCGGTGAAGAACCCCTGGCTCCAGAACCGGTTTAGGCGTCTTGTGGTGCAGGCGTGTCAGGGTTTCAGGGTTTCATGTTACTGCAGGGTGTAGTAGCTTTGGCTTTTCAGTCCTACAAGTGTTCAGATTGAGGGTTTGGGGCTTTGGGGGCTTGCTTGCAACACCCCTGTCCACGCCAAAGCCTCGGACTTTTCGGCGGTGGTGGTGGTGGTAGTTGTTGTGATCATCGTGGCGGTGGAAGCGGCCTCGTTGTGGGCCTCCCGCCAGTTGAAAGAGCTTCAGGGTGCGAGGGTTCAGGGCCCACGATTCCGAGCTTAGGTCCAGGGCTTGGAGGATTGACGTGCAAAAGCGAACAGTTACGATCGACAAGATAACACGGATAAAGGAAAAGAGGTCAGCAGCCTTAAAGCCTGCAGCCTCATGACTTTCGACCCCAAGCGCCCTTGCCATCCTCCCCTGAGCATCCCATATTGATTACAATCAATCAATTTCGCAAACAGATATTGATTTTTTGCGCAGCGTCAAAAATCAATATACCGAAAACACGGCATATTGATTAGCATATTGATTATCATAATGATTAGCATATTGATTAGCATATTGATTGGCGTATTGATTAGCATACTGATTAACATATTGCTATATATGTTGTTTTACAAACTAATTTATATCGCTAATATGCATAAAACACATATGATCGAACATATATGAAAATATGTATATGTGTGTGTGTAAGGCCTTGGGTATAGAAGACTGTAATGTAGAGGTGTGGGGTATAAAGGTGTCGGGGAAAGGGGTTTTGGGGGGGTTAGAGGCAGAAGGATTTAGGGCTATAGTGGAGGTTCACAAACATCAGGGCTTAGGGCTAGGGGGTTTAGGGGTAAGGGGCTAAAGGGTATGGGGTCGTAGGACTTTCGTGGGCAGATGGCTTTAGAAAGTCTAGCAGAAAGCGAGGTAGAATGAGAGAAAGAGAGAACAAACGAAACGGAAGGATAGGGAACGAAGAGAGAAGAGAGAAGCGGCTAAAGGAAGAGATACAGACAGAGAGAGAGAGAGAGATAGACAGACAGAGAGACAGATCAAGAACAACATAGAGAAGGCAAGGATAAAGTGGCAGGAGAGAGAAACCTAGGACAAACCAAAGAAATAGAAAATGAGAGAGCCAAAGAAGGAGCGACACAGAGACATAAGAGAGAGAACGCAGGGCTAGCCAAACGATTCCATGGTTTCCTACAACAGCTTGTTGATTTCATGTCAAATATTCATGTCAATGATAGACAGCATGAGAAAGAGGAGCCATTTTTTCTTCCCACATGGCAAAAACTCGTATCCAGCGGCGCCGGCCACCTCCAAAGATGCCTCGGCAACACGTGGAACATCCAATCTTCAACCGACGGAGAAAGAGTGCAGAGTGCATCAAACAAACGCATGAAAGCATTTTTCCGTCTTTGATTCGAATGTCTACGACACCACCTACCTGCTCATGCCATTGTCGCTCCACGACAGCATGACATCGGAGATGACTGCAATGCCAATGAGCTATATGATCTATTTAGTAGAACTTCGGCAATGAGCAAGATAAGTGACGACAGTGAGCAGCGAATGCCGCTATTGTCAGCTATTGTCCAAAAATGCCGGCACTCCTGCTTGCTCATGTGTCTTGGTCTGTACACAGATCATCCATCTATATTGGTAAGAAAACTGGCGATGAGCAAAAGAAGTGACGACAGCGGGTGACCTATTATGACTCTTGTTAAGCATGTCGGCGCCCTCCTCCTGTTCCCATGTCTTGCTTGTAAACAAATCACACTTTATTTCTGCATGAATCAGAATGCCAGCATGAGCAAAAGAAGTGGCGACAGTGAGCTGCCATCGACCTCTTACAGTCTTACCGCCTTTTTGGCGTGCAAAAGGAGCTGCTTCATGGTCATCAGCCCGACGCCTGCAGGATGAAAATGGGTATACAAGATAACAATGAACAGCCTTAGAATGATTGCAGGGATGCTTGCCCTCTGCCTTGTGGCACCAATCTCTGTCCGCTCGGCGCAAATGCCCACACCCAAGAAACATCTTTGATGTTGTGCGTCACCAGGGCGACATCGATCTTCATCTGCAGCTCAGTCATGCCACTGAGATACCAGGACGTGCCATCGCTGGTCAACCCGCTCATTGCTCCGGCAGGGAAGCTCTTGCAGCCGAGAACATCGGTGATGGTGGGGCTTGCCTTGACCATGTTCGACAGCGTCGTCACCTGCTTTGACTGGAAATCCAGCACCACAGTGCGCTTCTCTGGCTGGTATGCAAGCGCTTTCTCAAGTGGCTTCGAGGATTTTCCTAACTTGCCCTCACCAATCCAAAGCAACATGGAGTGCTTGGCAAGCTTTCGGTTTGTGCTGCACTGACTCTGCAAAGCAAGTGAGCCATCCTCCAGGAGCAGCAGATGACACTCGGGATCGGGGAACTCACAAACCTTCACTGCACCCTCCAGCTTCAACACATCTTCATGATCATTGCCTTGCCTGGACTTGGACTTGGGCTCGGGCTTTGGCTTCTGCACAGGAGCTTTCTCTTCCGAGCTGGGTGCGACATCGGCCGTCCCATCCTCCGAGGTCGACAACGACTTCTGGGGCTCCTCCAACAGCACCGGCTTTTCTGAAGACCTCGGCCCTGGGGATCTCTCCGATGTCGAGCTCGGTGTTGTTGTCTCACTCGGAGAGTTCGGGATCGGCCCTGGGGATCTCTCCGACATCGAGCTCGTTGTTGTTGTCTTACTCGGAGAGCTCGGGAAGTAGCTCGTCAACCGTGCACGCTTGGCATCTGGGCCCCAAGTAGTGGCATGAATACCGTACCTAAGTTAATTAATGCAGAACATAATATCACATGTTTCCATATCTTGAAGTTGGGAAGACCTGACATGATACGGCAATGAATGAAGCACCTTTGCCAAGTCGCTCGCTCACGATCTCCATCCTGGAGCTGATGCCGACGCCATTGCGTGTGTTGGCCCAAAGGGCCAACAGACCTGAGGGAGTTGGAAATCTGCCACTGATTTCTTTGACCACAATAACTGCTATCATGCTTTCCCTCTCATGGTGTTTTCAATCCTCCCTCACCTCTGTTCGGTCCTTGCGACGTGTTAATCTCCCATCGGGCGTTCGGGCGTGATTTCACGCCCGTGAAGTCATTCACGTAGCGTGCCGCGCCAACCAGCACCGCCCAAATCGTGATGACTTCACCATGGCACAAGATACCGGGGATCCTCAACACCTCACTGTCACAACAAGCCCTTTACTAAACTCAACACCGCAAAACAAATTCATGCAAGGATAATCTGCAGAAAAGTAGCATCACACTCATAGCTTGCATGCCCCTGCAGAAACTCCATGAGTGTATTGTGGCTCTTGAAGAGCAGCGCGCTGGCCTTCAGGATGCATTCTCCTTCTGGGATGCTTTTGGAAGTGAAGAGGCCGTTGCCGTGGTCCGAGGTGGCCTGCACGATCAATCCGAACTCCTCCAGGTCCTGCGACAGCCGCAGCTTCATCTGATTCTCCAGCTTCGCAGGCACCGTGTCCACCTGATAGCAGCCACCAGACGAGCAGGCAAGATTCCAATGGCAAGGCAGAGTCATGATTTGTGAAGTCATCACTAGCTTGGTATCTTCTCCAAGTGGCTCCTGCAAAGGCATCTGAAGAATCTGGAGCGACATCGAGCAGCTGTATCATCTGGGAGTCTCGGGAGGGTGCTGCACACTCCATGTAGGGCACGTCTTGGACGCGCTTCTGCTTGTTCGTCTGCACCGTTGCCTTCAGCTGCTCGTTCTGCATGGCCTCCTTCAGAAGATAAGACTCTGCAATCTGATGCCCATGCCTCACGGAGTGTTCGCGTGGCCGGTCAAGCAAAGTGTAGAATTCCTGGGTCATTGTGGCATGGCGTACAGCAACTTTCAATTCTATTGCTGAGGGCTTGTCGGGATACCTCACCTGAGCTGAACTCCCATTTCTTGCAAGAGGCACATCCCAAACTGCGAGCCGCCAAAGCTTGGGCAGGGTGAGCCGTCGTTGTGAAAGCCACCACGTGTGTCAACCCAGGCAGCTGCACGATGTCACGAAACAGCTGGGCATAGAATCCTGAGTCGGCAATCACTGCTATGGGAATGAATCCTCAAATAAAAAGTGATATGCAAGGATGGATGAACATGCTCTGGACAGGTCACGCACAGGCCGTGCGAAAGGCCACAAATCGATCAAGTAATCTCGCTGTGCTTCTTCCGAGCCCTGCTCATCGACAGCGGTATCCTGCTCATCATCTCCAGGTCCAGCATCGCAGAAGTTGGAGGTGGCTTCCTTGTCATCATCTGCGATCTCCGAAACCGGGCATGCACCCACCTCTGGGAGACCACAGATCTCGTCCGCTGTCCTCAATTCAATGATGCCTCGAAATCAACAGCTCGAAGGGGACTGGTGTGAAACACATTCAAACACTCAACTCACACAGCATAGCCTAGGGTCCGTAGTGGGCACGACCGACTGAGACAACGAAGTTGGTGTTGTTCTGCAGGTGTCGCACGGTGTTTCAGGCACTGGACCATGAATGGCATGTCCGGCACCGTGCCATTGTTCCGCTGGATAACGATAAGGAAGCTCGGGATGGACGGCCGGCCTCGCTGCTGCACTTCGCCACTCGTCATCTGGACCGAGTAGACCTTCCATAAGTCAGCACGGAACACCTCCTCGCACCGCTTGAGGACTTTCAGCAGCAGGTCGATGCGCTGACCACGGACGATGACGACAGCGAGCTTGCCCAATGTCTGCCAGCCGAGTGCCACCAACATTGCATGCACGTCCTCCAAATACTGATTATGAATCTTCAACCTGGAGCTGGCGCAGTCGATGAGGAACAAGATGCTGTGCCGCATACAAATAGTATCCTTCATCAACTGATCCTGGAGAGCCTCCTTGGTCCGGAATGTCTGAACATGCGCCATTTCGGCATCTCTCTCGGCCTTGGCTGCGACAACGACTGGATCTTCCATCGGAACGTCGATGCCCTGCAACAGCACCGGGGGCTCATTTTCGTGGTCTTTCATGGCTTCAGTTTCAGCAGCCACGTCTTCTTCCTTAGCCTCTTCAAGCTCCTTGGCAGCCTTTTTGGCCTGCTCCAGATCAGCTTGCTTCTGTTGCATCAGCTGCTTGTGCAGCTGGTGGCACTCCTGTCCGTGTCATCCCAGCATTATACGGCATATCCACTGAACACTTGCACATGACACGAGTGTAACCATCGGCGACTAAGCTACACACACTGATTCCCACGTTGGAAGCGCTGGTTCCATGAAGTGGTGTCTTCGAGTGCGAGCAAGCTTTCACCTTGGCCAGTCCGGACTTTGTCTGTAAGGAAGCGAGAACGGATTGGAAGGCCCGGGATGAAGAAGCCAATGTCCCAAACTTCGACACCATGAACGAACGCCATGTCATCAAGGACGAGAGTGGGGCACAGATGTCACTGAGGAACACTTTGGAACTCATGCCCACCTCATCCTGGATTTCCTCAGATACACAGTCTTACTACCATTGTGTAAGACCCAAAGCTGCACAAAGAGCAGGACGGATCACCACAAGCCGTAGCACATTTTCCAATGACTTTTGCTGACCCCTTTGTACCTTGTGTGAGACACGTACTTGAACTACCGCCTGCCAAATCCCACCGTCAAGTGAAATAAATAAGTGCCCTGGCCCTCGGCCAATGCCAGCACCATTCCAAATAAGTGCCCTGGCCCTCGGCCAATGCCAGCACCATTCCTAGTCGGCAGGAAGCAGGAGGTCAAAAGCAAACTGTGCAAACTTCTCGCTGTAGCAATGTGCCACTGCAGGGTTCATTGTAGTCTGAGTTTCCGATTTAGACGTGAAACTCAACCGGAGGTGCGGCTGCTGCATGTACTGGCACAACACTTTCTGCTTTCGTGCTCGTTTCACTCTGCATTGGTAAGCTTTTTGGTCAGGCAATGGGCCAGCACACCAGATGTAGAGCCCTGTAGGCTTCTTGAACGGTTGACCGAACGCACACATATCCACATGTATCTTCTGGAACACCTTTGAAGCAATCAACTTCTCGAGTTCTGGCACACGAAACATCAGACTTGATTTTGGGTTCTCCAGTCCACACGGTGTTCTCGTGGAGATACATGCTTCGATCACTTTCATGCTCGCCCTCAATGTCGCGTTCCCCGAGTGCAGTTTCTGAACGTCGCTGTCCTGCGGCCACAGACGCACATGTTGTACGGATTCAATCATGTCATTATAATAAAATGACAGCATCTCACAGTTCTCACGGGTCCAGTAGAGTGGCTGCCGGCAATCCCCAGATTGCCTCCACAGTTCTCAGCTTTGCCGGAAACCCACGTGAACGGGCACGACTCCGGCGTCCACGGCGTGCTGCACTCCATGTGTTGCACGGTGTGCCAAGCCACACCTCAGGCCAGAGTTATACTCATGATCTTCCTGATTCATGCTGCTTGTATGAAGTATTTGAGCTTTTCAACAACTAGCTCTTGATTCACTTCAAGACACCGCTGCCACGAAACCAGACAGAATCCATCCTACCACGACATCGAGAATCGGCGTTGCAGTCAGGTCGACACCCTCATTTATGTCCAGGGCCAGGCTGCCGTAGCCTTCGCGGATGGGCTGTTACATGCAGCAGGAGAAGTTGCAGATCAAGCACCTGCCTGCTGCCAGTGCAGCAGCTGCCACCATACCAGCGCCGGCAAAGAGCTCCAGGAACATCTTTCCACCTTGTCTTTGCAGATAATATGAAGGGATGAGCTTTTTCTATACAACCAGCTCTGCTCTTCCACAACACATGATGTAGCATGCACTGGCCTGAGGTCTTCCTTGTTTCATGGAATCTGTCATCCAGCGCGGTCGCGGATATCGATGGAAAGACCTTCTTCACTTTCTTTTGAAAGGATCTTCTTGATGGGCGTGCTTTCTTTGCCTCAGCCTTGCTCGCCCTGGTAGCAGCAGTCTTTCGAAGGGCCCTTTGCTGAGTGGGCTTGGTCCCAATCTTGGGTTGCTGATCAACTGGAAGTGCTAAGGCAACCTCACCCATGCCCTCGTCTATATCAGCGTCATCAATCGTGAAACCCATGAAGCCAGCATCAGGCGTCCTGGCACTACTAGGTAGTGCCATGAAGTCAGAAGCCTCGTCGTCTTCGACAATGAAGACCATCGTTTTAATCCCCCACTTCAAAAGGACGAGACAGCTGTGAGCCTATCAATGCAAGTGTCGCCCAACTTGACAACATGTAATCATGGCACAAGTGAGTCATCAATTCTCAGACCAACGCCCCTCGTCTTCACATGCCTAATTATGCCTCGGCTCGTTGAGAACAAGGTTGAGCGCATGCATGGCGAGGTCAGGCGACAGCTTGAGCTTCTGCTTTGTACCTGTTCCCATGAGGTACGGGTTGTCCCATAAATAAGTCTGTGGTATCTTTGCGAGCTCGACCGACTTCAATGCTTCTTGCACTTCGGCGTCCATGCCCCGAGCCGCTCGCACCCACTTGTAGATCCGTGCTTGGCATCCGCTTCCCAGGATGGACACGAAGTACTGAATTGGGTCGGAGTTCTTCATCATGGCAGTTTTCACTGCATGCAGCTTTTGGGCAAAGGTCGTCATTCTATACTTGTTGTTTTCCTCGTCGTGCACTGAGCAATACCATATCGTCCGTGTTTCCAGGTCCTGAAAGTGCACCAAGTCACAAACGACAGTTCCATCGTCCAACATTTTGGCCAATCTCTCATCATTGAGCGCGAGATCGCCTTTCATTTTGTCACTTCGAAGCTTCATCAGCGTGCTGATATACTGCAACCCATCTCCAATCAGCACCAAACCCTGCAACAAGGCTGTTCCGTAAGAAAATCAGACAGCACAAAACTCATGGAGTGCGCAGCAGTGCAATGATTGAAAACTACGTTCATATCCTCGCACGAAAACTGACATGCACCTTGTTGTCGAGCAGCCTCTTCCCATCGTCCCGGCAAACAAGAAGCTGTGGGTCACGAAACACCGATTGGCCAAGCTTTCCCGCCAGCAAATCTTGTCGAATTTCCAGCTGCCGAAGGGGGTCAGGCGCTCGCCAACCACTGTCCGGAAACGACAACGAAATGTCCTTGTCTCTTCGCTGGCCTATAGAGATCAGCCCTGTGGAGTTGCAGCAGCACTGCATGATGATGTCATGACAGAACACTTTTCATAACTGCAAGCCACGGCTCATCAAGCGGCACAGAAACTCCCCGTTGGACGATGACAGGCCCAAATGCTGACATGATTCCTAAGCAAGGCTAGCCCAGGCTCTGAAAATGTTGCTTGATGTTGAAAAATCTGCACATCAGCACCACGTTTATTCAATGGGAGTGCTTCCCCTGTTCACATCCAACTGAGCACTGCAAAGCAGCCTGGCATGTACCTTCTGAGCTACCACAGTGTGGACAAACGACTCCACCCATCCAGGGCTGGCACGATCATGACTCCTGTCACCCTGTGCTTGCCATTGCTGCAAACCTCCACAGCGAGGACGTTTCGAACCAGCTCTTTCTCAGCACACTGCTTGGAGGCCCTCCACAACACAACCTGGACCCTCATGCCACACTCGTGCTGCAGCAGATCTGGGCTCATGGCATGACCATGTCACCACCTCAGCACACACATGGTGTCTGTTCAGTGCCTAACCGAAAACTGTTCAAGACATGTAACCTTTGATCAACTCCAGGCTTCCCAAGCTGGTCAAACGCTGCACCCGACCTCTCTCATGAATAACGACATGGACCAGCGCAGTCAAGCAAGACTGCTCATGCCGTGGCATTGTGAAACGGGGCGACAACCACTCTCTGTACAACAGCGGCAATGTCCCATGTTAATCCATTTCCATGTCAGCTGCAGCATCGGTATTGTTCTCAGTCACGATGCTTGTCCATCTTGGCTATTCTAGGAGGCTTGCAACAAACAAGAATAACAATTCCTTCATGGTGCCAAAATATTAAACTCACCCTATCTGAATTTCATGGGGACCTTCAGGGCAGGCCAACACACTGATCCCATTTATTTAGGACCCGGCCCTAAGGATGGCCCCTTGCTGACCCTTAGCCCTGGACATAGGGTTCTTTAGAGGCAACATTTCCAAATTCCGACATGTAGCAATTCTTGTCGTTCACGCTGCCACGCCTGTCCTTCTGTCGAGTGAAGCCACGTGGCCATGCGCTGCCGCATTGTGGAGCGCGGCTGCTCTCGGCTGCCAACGAAGCCCGGAAGTGATGCTATGACATGTTGTCCATTCTGCTCCCGCACGAGGCGTTGAAGAGCACTTGCTGTGCCGGGGTCAAGGCGTGACAAAGAAGAAGGTGCATAAATTTGCCTTTGCAGGAGTCTCTCCTGCTCCATGTTTGCAAACCTGGGGCCATGTCACCACACACAACATCCCACAAAAGGAGTCACACAATGTGTTTAAAGACGCAGCCTCAATGCTGCTGAGTCAAAGCACGAACGGCCTCAATCAGCTAGTGATCATCAACACCAAGATACAGTCTGCGAATGGAAGCGCCTGTCGTCGTGTCGGCTGCTGGAATATCATTTTCCGAATTTGGAATTTGACAACCGGCCAGCTGTGCCCGTGCATTGGAGGCAGCCATCATCGAAGGAATGACCGTAGGTCCAGAACTCTCATGACCGACACGCCGCCTCTTTGAACGGGCATCCGGCCGCAGCAGGGGCCTCTTTCCACCATCAAGCATTGTAGACGCAACCTCCTGCACGATCCATTCGTCTCGACAACCTCCGATTCCCTGAACTCCAGCACATGGAAACTGAAGTCGATTTGCTATTCTGGCCGCATGTCGGGAGGTTGATCCGTCGTCCTGTGCATGAAGAAGGCTTCCAATTCGTTCACAGGAGCTGGATTGACTCTGTGTCGCAGCTGAAAGTGCCAACAAAAAGACACAATGCCATGCGTGGGTTGTCCGCCCATACATGTGAAGTCTGTGCAGTCCTGCACTCATCAGGAAAGATTTCACGATCGATGCTTCGTCCAGAACTGACACACATCGCTCCAACACAGCTGGCTCTTCAGCCCGGCCAAGTGTGCTCGACAGCGACGACACCATGACGACATCCCCGGGGCCCTGGGTTGAACTTGCATGAATGATGTGTTCTCCTATTCCAGGCTAAGAAAGGACATGAAAACACGACAGAGGCATGATTGAAAAGTACTCACATCAGCTTAATGTCTATCTGCTGGCTGGCGTTCTTGTGGGGTAGGAACGACAGGCGCCGCACGGAGCTGGCCTCGACCTTCACAACGGCCTCAGGGGCTAGTTGTTTTGGTTCAGGCTAATGGCCTCTATAAATTGGAGGGTCTGAGACCTAATTCATGGTCAAGGCCTTGAACCACATTCCCAACATATTCACTAACAGCCACATCCCAAATTCGCAAACTTCCGTCCTGGGGATAGAGAAAACCACAGATCTTGCCCGCCACACATCGAATCACCTGCAGGCGCCGAGCTTGGCGACCCAAGGACATCGATTGAAAGCCATGTTGCACCAGTGCCCTCAGTTTGTCTGGCACCTGCTGAACCATTGCAACCTCATACGCAGTTGTGATTTTCCAATTCGGTTGCATGGCATTCTGGCGAAGGATTGTGTGGAACACCTTGTATTGACGTTCCAGCTCCACAGCAGAAGGCCATTTCTTTTGGACATATGGGAACTGGTCAGGATACTGCATGCCTGAGACACGATGTCGAAACTGCTCCGCCAAGTCCAAAAAACATGCCATTTGCTGCTGTTGTGGGCGCAGACAACCATGAGCCAAGAGTGCTGGGAAATCCCAACAGGTAGCCATGTTCTGGTAAAGCTTCTGAACATGAGGTGTCACACCTACAGAGCCCCAATAATTTGCAAAAGATGTGCGCAGGCCAGACAAAAACTTCACGGCAGCTGTCAACCCTGTGTGGATCTGTGCAGCTATGACAGGAACGGTCCGTGCCGTTTGGCACTGGTAGAGGTGCACACGGTAAAGCATTCCCTGAAGCTGGGGAATAGGAGGTCCTTGTTCAAAGGTCTGGTACCGCAAGGGCACCTCCTCCATGGTCGATGAAAGATCACGCTTGGCTTCTTGCACCGTGATGGGGCTCCTGGCCACATATTCTGGGACCCGCACTGATCGCACGTGCCCATGTCTCAACTTCATGCGCACTGCCACACGACGAAAGTCTTCTCGACTGCGACGGGCACGGCATGTGCACCTTGGAGTGATGCACATAGTGCCAGGCCTCAGATCCATCAACAACGGGAGGTCCACGCCCTTATATTGGTGATGAAGAATAAGTGGTGGCAGAGCTAGCAGCACCTTCCTGAACCGTTTGAGACCTGAAGTCAGCATGGCATAGCAGAGCCGGCAAATGCTCCTTGGGTCCGCGTAGTGTTGCATCAACACGAGGGTATCAGCTTGTGCAAAGTCTGCTCATCCTGTCGTGCTTCCTCTTGCCATTGCTGGAAAGCTCTCTCCACTTTCCAGGGTAGTTCTGAAGACGATTGTGTGAGCAAAGTGAAAACTCGATAGCTCTGCATAAGTATTCTGAAGCACAACAAGAAAACTACAAAGTCCACACTGCATAAGCGCCGCCCTGCCCTCAAGATGTCCGCCTGTGGCTGTCCACCTGCTCCGGAGCGCTTGCGGATTACACGAGCATGCAAAGCCAGTGCATAATTCCTGAAGTTACGGTCCAGATTTTCGGCAACCTCCACATGTGCTCACCTTTTCTCGTGCCACTCATGGATGCAGCTGCTCTGTGTGTGTGTCTCCGGCAGTTTCGGCAGCCGAGCGTAGCAGCACCCGTCCGTCCCCCGAGCCGAACTTTTGTGCCATGATTTTGGCCACGCTGTACACTTCTTGCGCGGGTTCCGATGCCTGAAGTGCTGCATGATAAGCCGCATCCGCTCTGTGAAATCGTTCCCATTCTACGAAACCTCGCTGATTGTCATCTGTGTAAATCATCTCTTCCAGCTTGTTAGCCGCTTGTGTAGAGCTGTGTTTTGCGTCCACTCCTCCAGGAGCCACAGCTCCGTCACCACCCACGATGGTCAAAACACGTTTCCTCAGACCAACGGGGCCCAAGCCGGCAGGATGCACAGACAGAGCTTCCATGACCAGCTTCGCCTGATCCACACCTTTCTTCTGCAAGCCAATTGACGGACACCCGAGGAAGTGTGAGACAATCTCACCAGTATGAGGTGATAATGCAGCAACACAGATGACCTCGAAAGATTCATTGCGGGCATACAGGGACTCTCCGACGGTCACTCCGTCGAAACGACACCGAGTCCTGGTAGTCTTGTCGACAACGAGTCTGCCACCATTAGCTCTATGAGCTTGGATCCAGTGAACTCGACCATCTGCACAAAGGATTTCGAAGCAAACTTGTCCCCTATGGGAACACTATTCAGCGACAACCGACATAATGACTGCATGTAATGGGAATCCGGATACCCATGGCTGATGGTATACACTGCTTCTCGTACAAGACAGACCATGATGTTCTGGGCCGACGGTGTCCCCACCTCGTTTGCTTCTTCTGGCTCACTGGTCCCTGTTGCCCTGTGGCTGTTGCTTGCCAGGGCATACGGTTTCCAACCATTTCTCTCCACTCGGTCACGAATCGAAGACAGGGTCCATGCAGACACCCGCACGAGGTGTGCAGCAGCACGAGCAGCCAACGGCCGAGCTGCCACAGATATTGGAGCCAAACACGCACATATCCTTCCGGGCTCCCAACAATTGTCTGGGTTAACATCAACCAATAGATTATAAGACCATGAAACACCATCATGAGAAAGATTTTTCTGAAAGCAGTGCCACGCATCTCTTTGTTGAGGCGCTGAGGGAGCTTTGATAAATTCAGCAGAAGGTTGGTTAGAAGTGCTTGGCCTTGCTCAGCGACCCCTTCGTGTTGAGACACGAACTGCCCTATGTTTCCACCTGGCTTCCAACGTCCATCTGCCACCGGGGTCGGGGCCACCTCTGCATCCTCTATCTGCAGGCCAGAAGCCTCGCACATCTCTGCATCCTCTATCTCAGGCCAGAAGCCTCGCACTGCTCATCCTCATATTCAGTGACCATCAAACTCGAACTAAGCCAGGGCTGCTGAAAGCTCGGGTGCCCAGGCAAGACTACTTCCTCGTCGTTGATGTCTTCAAGAACGAAGCCTGCCAAGCCCACTGATGTTCATAGTGCAGCAGGCCCAACCCTGAAAAAAAGCTTTTCAGAGCGAAAGGTCTTTTTCAGAAGTTGAAGCAGTTCAACCCTGAGAAACAGAGATTTGAATCTATTTCATGTGCAATCTTGCAGGAAACTAACTCTTTGTCCTGGTTAGAGCCTACCTACCTCCAGAAAAGTTTTTCGCTCTGAAAAACTTTTTCCGGAGGTAGGTAGGATCCCACTGGCCAAAAGGGCTTCTTTTACGAAAACTGTCTGTATGCCCTACCTACCTCCGGGAAAAGTTTTCTCTCTGGAAAAAATTTTCCGGAAGTAGGTAGGATCCCACTGGCCAAAGGGCTTCTTTTACGAAAACTGTCTGTATGTCCTACCTACCTCCGGGAAAAGTTTTTCGCTCTGAAAAAACTTTTTCCGGAGGTAGCTAGAATCACACAGGCCAAAGGGCTTCTTTTAAGAAAACTGCATGTATGCCCTAGTAAGCTCATGCATGTATGAGGCTGCAGTGCCTGTGCTTCCACTGAGGTGATCCTCTCCGACCGCCATGCTGTCGACAAGGATCGAAAGAAGAAGGCTGTCTAAATCTGCAAAGCATTGAGGCACAACAATCATGGAACCTGCATTCGTTAATAGCTTGGGCATGCTCCGGTTCTCCAACATCGAACAAACATATCGTATTTAATGTGGCTTTCATGCAGGGCCACAGAGCTGCAGAATGTACTGATTTTTAAGCATGGGTCGTCCTCACACTCGTGCAGCTGAGTTATTCAACCGAATCAGCCAAAACAATTCCAAGGAAGCGGCGACTGATGCCCGAGGCCACATCATGTCGACCTCTGCCGGCGCACTTGCAGCTAATTCACAACGAATGACTTTTCCAAGGCCGTGCCAAGGAAACTGCTGTGGCCCCTGGCTGGTCTTGTCTGACCTCTGGATGCTCTACAATGGAGAAATTGTTCTGCAATTGCCACCATCTCACGCATGTCACCACTGCACAGAGCAAGCTCGAAGCACTTTTGTCCGGCACCCAGAGTCCATGGGAGGCTTTCGAACAGAGAGCTCAGCACGGCTTATGCCCCCGCCCCCCCCTTGCCAAACTGTGCCTCGAGTGCTCTGGATTGAATACAAAGGCACCAATAGCCCGGTCAGTACCCTAGCCGCATGATCATGAACTTTTGCTTGCACAAAGCCGGGTGGGGCTGAGGCTGAGTCCGGCTCAGCCTCAGGGGCTCAAGAGCCGTGCTGTTCCTCAAAAACACTGCAGGATGCAGTGAACGTCGTCAGCTTTTTGTTGAACGGCACCCATGCAAGTATCACTGCTACCAGAATAATCACGACCCTGCCGAATCAGCTACGATTGAAAGAGCGCTTGATTGAGAGTAACTTAACAACAGCACACATGAATTGCGCACTGGCCGAACACCACACTTCACAGCTGACAGAAGGCTGGCAATGTCACGGTGCTGTGTCTCACTGCCCTTGAGGCCCCTCGGGTGTGTTGCCTGGAGACCCCCAGCCAAGGAGACACACACAGCGAGAGTACCATGTGAAATATACATGTCTGCAGACACGTGCGCACACATGTCAGAACTTAGGACTGGACTGCTGGCAGATACGGCAGATGACTCCACATCAGGCTTGAGCTTCTTCTCGTCGTGATCGTTGTCTAAGGCACCCATGCACGAATCTCAGAATTGTCCAAACAAGTCAAGCCAGAGTTGTGCTCACTACAAAGGCCCGCCCCAAAACCTTAGGACTGGACCATCCTTGGACGACAGCGACTTGCGCTTTGTCTCGTTCTTCTGGCGGTCTTCATAGGTGGACAAAAAGCTCCGGATCTGCTTCTGCTCCTCCAGGAGATACTCCTTCCTGAGCATGGGTCATCGTTTCTTTGGCATGCCACCAGCAGCGAACAGCTCGATACAAAAGCACACTGATTCTGTCTCTTGCTATCCGAAGGGCTCGACATCGAGTTGCTTAATCTTGTCCTCGTTGATGTTGAAGGCCTCGCGGAGCGTCACCAGGCGGCGCTCCGCGAACAAGTCCTTTTGTGATGTCTTCGCAGTCGGGGAGATGAGAAGCGTTGCCTTGAGCCTCATCCGTGCCACCGGCTCTGGCCTATTCGAGTCCGATGGCGACGTCCAGAACTCCTGGGTGTGACACAAGTGCACAGAGGCAGACAGCTCTTTTTCAAGCATGGCTCCGAAAATGCTGTGAAGTCACGGCCAATGGTGAAACCAGCAGATCGACCGGCCACGTGCTTGCCGGCTGCTCCCGGAACATGAGCTGCTCCAGCTCGACCGTGCACGATCTGCCAGCCTCGGCGAAGAACGCCAAGAGCGCCGCCTGCTCCACGGATTTGAACCACACACCTTCCCCGTTGCCGAACTTGCGAAGAGCATTCTTCTGCAAAACCGACGTGAGCCGATTGTGCAGGGTGTCCGGAAGCACTCGAAAGAAACGCCATGGGAGGTCGTTGTCCGTGATTGCAGCATTTTCCCACTCTTCGTTCACAGTGATGACTGCGGAGAAAAAGAAGCACTCCACGTAGCTACCTACGGCTAGCCAGGGGGCCCAGCGCCATGAACCTCCCGTTCGGGTGCATCTCCACCAGCCGGTTGCCAACGGCCTCCATGATATTGGTGACACGCACCTCGAGGAGAAAGCAACAGGTTGAAAGGGAGAGGTTGCCGGCATTGGCCTTGCGTTTCGCCAAGCCTTTCGGCTCGCTGTCCGACAACGAGTATCCCAACCTTGGATTGTGGTGTCCCACAGCAGCACATTATGCTGACTATACAAGTCACATGAATGCAGGTCTGCAGCTTCCTCGCGCCAAAGCGGCTCGCATCGGCTATGGCCTCCCCCACACTTGGTGAGAAGACCATACCAGCGGAGGCATCTGAGGTGCTCATTGTCACGACCGCAAATCCGATCATGATTCACTCAATCACTGTGATTCACTGAATCCCTGGCGTTTGGGCAGTCAGTGGCAGCTGCTTTTGCAGATGGAGTGATGCATGTCAGGTACCGGTGAAGTAAGAAGCAAAGCAACATGTCGGCTGCAGAAAGCAGGCAACGGATGTGCAGGAACCATGCTCTTTTGCACCCACACGTCCCCATAATCACTGAACCGTGCTTCATCACTCGCATTTTGCAGTGATTCAGCGCCCCAGAAAAGGATCACCCGTGTCCTCGATGTGCTGCTGCCTGCTCAAACTTTCCCCGCCCGACAGCGAGCTCTTGTTGCCATCCTGACCCTGCTCAAGAAGGGGCTCGTCAAGCTGGGCTTCGACTCCAATTCATGAACGAGGTCGAGGTGGTGCTTGTCCAACGTCTTGGCTTTCACGAAATCCGCCACCATCTGACCCTTCACCAAGCGGTCTGTCAGGCAATCTTCACAGGCGTGCTGCAGGACATGCAGCGCACCAGGGGCGATTCGAAACTTCGAGCCCACAGGATTCACGCCCGGTGCTTTGCGTTTGACTCGCCGAACAACCCTAGCATGATCCTCGGGCTCGACAGCGACATGGTCAATCATGGCATTCGTGATAGTCTTGAACGTCTTCATCGGGATCATCGTGGCCTTCAAGGCGCCAGGAGCTTGCAAAGCCAATACCTGTGTATGGCAGTCACGTCTCTGTCCACCGAAACGACCACGAAAAGGATGTGCTTTCTTTGTCTTGGAGTCTTTCCCCGCAGGGCGTCCTTTCTTAGCCACAACTTCAGTGGCCGTAGTGTTCAGGTGGCTCCGGGTGGCACTCATCCTCATCACAACTTTCCTGTTTCATTTCTTGCTTCACAACGGCCATGTCAAGGAGGAAATGATTGATCCTGATCAAGACATTCCAGGGCAGCATCGGGAACACAGAGCCATTCACGTAAGTCATGGCCCAGGAAAGAAGCGACCAGTGTCGGTCAAAGTATTTCTCTTTCTCACTTGATCCTTTTTGGCAGCATGGTGTCTAGACTGGCTGCTTTTTAGCAACATGACAGTGAATGCCGTGCACGCACACACAGAGATGCACTGGCTCTGCATGATAAGGATGCACAAATTGAGCACCGAGTGCCCAGCCCAGGCAATGTGGCCAGCAATAATACCACTGAAAGCCTCGGCCATGGGCGATGATGCCAGAGACCTGGACATCCTTTATATGAACCCCCGAATACTACACAGCATTCAGACTTTGGCAGATTACATCCCGAAGGTTTGCGAAGTGGCTTGAAGAACCTTATGATACTGACGGGCCCGAGAAAAGGCCCAAATGCATTTTTCAGGGCCTGGTAAATGCATTTGGGCCTTCCGCCAGTGAACTTCGATGCTCCAAGCTGCTCTTGGGATTTATTTAGGATTAATTGTTTTCAGTAGAACACCGCGACCATCAGCACTCAGGCCGGGATGGACCATTGGAACTCAAGCCGACAAAGGCCCAAATGCATTTTTCAGGCCATGCAAAATGCATTTAGGCGTCCTCTGGGCGTGTAGAACACGCTTTGGGCTGATCTACAGGCCCACATTGAAGCTTGTTTGGCTTGCTAATGAGTGTGGATGGTCGATTTCTCAAGGCTTCAAAGGACGCCTAAATGCATTTTGCAGGGTCTGGTAAATGCATCTGGCCGTTTCTCAGCATGACTGCTGATGGTCGGTTCCGGCTTGAGTGTTCATGGTGGAGACTAACTGGATTGCATCCGAAAAGTGGTCCACGGGCTTCAAAGGATGCCTAAATGCATTTTGCAGGGCCTGGAAAATGCATTTGGGCCTTTGTCGGCTTCAGTGCTGATGGTCGGGGCTAATTGCTTGCATCCGACTAATGTTCCAAAGGTTTCAAAGGAGGCCTCAAGGCCTTTTGCAGGGCCTGGTAATTTCATTTTGCACCTCTCGGTGTGGCTTGAGTGTGGATGGTCGATTTCTCAAGGCTTCAAAGGACGCCTAAATGCATTTTGCAGGGCCTGGTAAATGCATCTGGCCGTTTCTCAGCATGACTGCTGATGGTCGGTTCCGGCTTGAGTGTTCATGGTGGAGACTAACTAGCTTGCATCCTAAAGGTGGTCCACGGGCTTCAAAGGATGCCTAAATGCATTTTGCAGGGCCTGGAAAATGCATTTGGGCCTTTGTCGGCTTCAGTTCTGATGGTCGAGGCTAATTGCTTGCGTCCGACTAATGTTCCAAAGGTTTCAAAACAGGCCTGAAGGCCTTTTGCAGGGCCTGGTAATTTCATTTTGCACCTCTCGGTGTGGCTTGAGTGTGGACGGTCGAGGCTAATGGCACCTTCCCGGCTTCAGTGCTCATGGTCCAGGCTAAGTAGCTTTGATCCGACAAGTGTTCCAAAGGCTTGAAAGACGCCTAAATGCATTATGCAGGGCCTGGTAAATGCATCTGGCCGTTTCTCGGCATGACTGCTGATGGTCGGGCCCGGCTTCAGTGCTGATGGTGGAGACTTTTAAGCTTGCATCCAAAACGTGGTTTAAAGGCTTCAAAGGATGCCTAAATGCATTTTGCAGGACCTCGCAAACGCATCTGGGCCCTCTCTGGCAGCATCGCTCATGGAACAAGCTGACAAAGACAAGCAGGACGGCTTGTTTTCAACAAGGACTCTGGGTCACTGGCATCACTGTTGTGCATGGTCTTGCAATGGTCTGGCCTTCAGAAGCGCACACAGAAATAACATGGAAATCCAGCCATAAGCAAATGCGAGCAATCTCAACTTGTACATCGAGGTCACGACATCCTGACAGATTGTGGCTGCCAACGACCTGGGCCCAGCAAGATCCATTGCACAATCACAGGCAGTCATATGCATGCAACAAATGGTGGACTCTGCAGATCTTGTTGTTGAATCCGTGTTTTGCTGCAACAGCGCCGCCGCGAGCTACATTCGTCATCTGCCCTACGTCGTCCCGAGACTGGAGATTTTAGCCAGTAGATTGAGTAGATGCGTCAACGACAACGACATCGAAAGACTTCAGGGCAGATGAAAAAAAGGCCGGCACGACAACGACCGACAGCGGTCACCGCCGTTGCTTCTTTTTGGCCCGTGCCTTGGCCTTCTCGGCAGCCTCGACAGCCTGTGCCCTCTCGGCAGCATCTTGGAGCTCTCTTTGCCGACGGCGCTCTGAGCGGACCGCAGCTGCCCGTGTCTCAAACTCTTCTCTGAAGACATCGAACAGCGCGACTCTTTGCAAGCGGCGGTTGTACCACACGAACGTCTGTGGGTCTGACAGGTACAGCGACCACAGCTGCCACCCGTCCTCAGCCAGTGCATCGTGCCCGTCAGGAAGGATGGGATCAACCTGAGGGCACGGAGAAATGATGTTTTTAGGAATGAGTTCAAGGTTTTGCTCTCAGGGCAAGATGGGCAAAGCTGAGCCGAGAATCTTGATGAAAGTAGATCGGCCGCTTGAAGGTCATCGTGAGCCCCCTCTCATTGCAGTAGTACCACTGGCCATCAGCCAGCAACGTTCGGCTCCATCCACCCGCGAGCTCTTGATCCATCTTAGTACTGTTTCTCGGACGACTTAAAAGACAACTACCCGAGACCCAATACCCAAGATATCTGGGTCTGTATACAGGTTCCTCATCATCCAAGACTTCAAAAGAAAAGGATGCCCCTATAATCGGCCATGCTGCGTTGAAGGGATCCGGATGAAGCCTTGGCACAGCCCAAAGATCAGGCGCAGGGTCCTCAGCTGGAGCTGAAGTGAAAGTGGCCGAGGGGATACCCAAAAGGACTCATGCCCTTGCTAAGGATGTTCATCCATGTCTCGACAGCAGCAGAAGGCCCCGAAGATGGTGCGCTGGGCTCGGGAGGCCCCGAAGATGGTGCGCTGGGCTCGGGTGCCTCCTCAGTCACTAGCAGGGATGTCCGGTTGCCAGTTTCGAGACTTCTCCAGCTATGATAGCCATGTTCTACAACATCACTCCTCCATGCCAGCGACGCCGTCAGGCTTTGGCTCCATGGCCTGATCCTTCCATCATGGTCTGCATGCTTTGGAATCCCACACCAGCTATGTCAGCCATGTTCTTTACTACATCGCTCCTCCACGACAGCGACGTCAGGCTCTGGCTCCACGACAGCGGGCACAGGCTCTGCAGTGGCCTGATCATTCCATCATATTCCCACACTGCATGCTTTGGAATCCCACACCAGCTATGTCAGCCATGTTCTTTCCTACATCGCTCCTCCACGACAGCGATGTCAGGCTCCGCGACAGCGGCCACAGGCTCCGGCCCCATGGCCTGATCAGCTCGAGCCTTTGGTGTAGCGCTTGCCAGACTCGCAGCCTCAACTCAGCACCACAGTGTCAAGACAGCCATCCAAGTCACAATCTTCAATCTCCTTGCAACCCAGACACTGCTGAGGTTGTCGGCACCGAGGCAACATCAGCCTTAAACTTATTCTTTCCGAGAAAAGACGCACGAGGCATTTTCCACAGTGATGATAGAATCGTGCAACCACGTGGCCTTTGGGCACACCGGTGTCGACAGCGAGGGCTGTTTGGGTGGGACCTTGGCCACAGAAATGAAGTTCTGAATAGTATGACACCCTTTGTGAGGAAAAGTCATTAATGCAGAGCAGTGGCCTTTGGCAGCACCGGGTTAGCCCTCGCCCACGACGACGGTGGTGGTCCACCCTTGGCACTTCAGAACAAGTGTTCAGATGAACGTAACAGTTTCAGAGACCCAAAAAGTCATGATTGCAAAACGTGGCCCGGTGGCCTTTGGAGGCACCGGCGACAGCGACTTGGGTGTGGGCGACAGCGACGGCACCTTGGGTGCTGCAAGCTTGACAAGAGAAGTCTTTCTCTTGTCATTTCAGACACCAAAAAAGTCATGTTGGCTAAGTGCGGCCTCGGGGCCTTTGCAGGCACCGTCCTGCCACTGCCCGACGCCTTCGGTGGCACCTCCGGCGCCTTCGGTGGCACCTCCGGTGCCTTGGCTTCAGAACACCCCGAAATCTTTGGCCCACGTGGCCCAACTGTGGAAAAATTGAATGGAGGTACTGGCTGCCCCGGAACCACAGCTGCCGGAAACTTTGCCGGCACTAGCTTCGCCTTGGCTTCAGATGACCCTGCAAGACTTTAAGACCAAATGCATGACGGCTGCAGTTAAAGTGAGCACACGTCTTGAGGAGATCACCTGAGGTCCATATTCTCCTCTGGCACGGCGATCCTTGCGCTTCCTTGGAACCAAGTGGAAGGCCGTTCAGTCTCAGTGCTTTTCTTGAAGCTGCTTGGTCTAGGTTGAACCAAGATGCGAGTCGGATCTCTCGCCACGGGCGCCGGAGGGGTTGCGGTATGACCCCAGGCCAGACGACATCTCCCACCAAGGAGGAAAACCGCAAAGGATGTTCAAGGATCTGAGATCTATGATCTGAGATATATGATGCTTTGATCCGTTATGTGTGCCTCCAGGACACTTTGAAACCTGCTTCTGAGCCAACTCCTGCTTGTGTGACTGCTGTTTGCTCACCGACGAGGCAATGCTTGAGAAATATCACAGTCATTCAAGGCAGCAACCATCAAGCAATGCATCACATGGAAGCTCACCAAGAGCAAAGTTTGCAACCAGGCACCAGACCATGTAGCGCTCCAGCACGACAACGACAAAGGTGCCACACAGCACTGCCTGCAATGTCACAAACTGCAAAGCAGTCTCCGAAGAAGAAGATCATGTTCCACCAGAGCCGAATGTGTTTCCAGGCCCCGGGCTAAATTCAAGTTGAGGGATGAGAGCACCTGCAAGGCGGAGATACTCAGCACACACACTCCCACAAGGAATCCACATTGGCAGGATAAATGCAGCTTCAATTTTTTTAATTCGCATCGACCTTCACAGCGGCCTGCATCAGCATTTGCCAGATGCTTAGAGCAAAATGTGAGGGATGCCCATGCATGTCATCCGTCAGCGACTGCGAAGCCACAGCTGCAACAGTGTTCTTATTCAGCTACAATGCTAGTTTGCATACCTTTGGGTGCCGACAGCGACTTCTGCGACAGCGACGTTTGATCTACGACAGCGATCACTTGTTGCCCTGGTCCTGCGAATAGTCGTACTTGGAGTCGTAGTAGCCGCCGGAGGTGGAGCTATAAGAATAACGACCAGGATAACGCTCGTCTCAGTATTGTAGGGATCAAGTATTAAATGATTGCAAATCTTGATAGTGGATCCAAGTGCAGATGAGCTGCGCCAAGGAGTTGATGACTGTGGCTGCTCCGACCAGCTCTGCTCCCACGGCTCGTTCTGAGAGGAATCCAACCAGCCTCGGATCAGATGCTGGCGGTTTAAGTTTAGGGTCGAGGCTTTAGGGTTTGGGGTTTATCCGAAACGAAATGCTGCCAGAAACTTCTCTTCTTCTCTCGCAGCCGGTCTTGGCAGTGTTTCACCACCGCCGCACTGCAATTGCCAAAGCCGTAGGAGCCGCCGCGGCGTGGGAAATTGGACACCTGGGTACAGGAAAAGCCCTAGCCAAACCCCAAACACTCAACCCTGAACATCTAAAGACCCCCCCCAATAAAAATTAAAGAATATGCCCATGAGCAACCAAGTCACGTAGGCATGAAAATCTGCTGCACCGGCATGGTCTGTGGACTCCAAAGTCGACATAATCTTGGCTCCACAGGTTTCACAACAAGACTGGCAATTCACCTTGCATCCGAAGCACTTCCCAAGCGCTGCCATCAACGTCCATGTCCCAGAGCACCTTGAACACATTGAAGTTCTTCATCATGAGGTGCTTCATCGCCTGAGTGGGCCCACTATTCAATGGCAAGTCCCTGTGACATGGGGTCAGCACTGACCAACACCAATCCCACCCCCTGCCTTCTTGGTGGAGCTCCAAGTGTCCTTGTAGCGCCAGTGCTGCAGGAACTGCCGCAAATCGTCCTCTTCATCGAGGTCTGCCTCGACAGCGACATCCGCCGTCTCCTTCCCGACAACGCCACACAAGGAGTCCTTTGCCTTGCCTCAGCCAGGCTCAACCAACCGCATGTCATGAGTCACGCAAGCTTTTCAACAGTCTTATTCATTTCTCTGGCCAAAGTGCGCTCGATGCTCACGACAGCGGTGAAGAAAGCCTTGAACGCCTTCTTTTCACGGTCCAGCTGGACCGACTGTGGCTGGTCGATCAAGTCCCACCGACACGGAAGCAAAACTCGAAGTCCGAAGACGGTCGCCATGACAACCGCTGCTGCAACAGAACGGTGAAGCCCACGGTCGCCTGGGATCAATCATGAGCAAATATTGCTGGATCAAAGAATCAGAAATACAATTTGGCAGAGTGGCTCTTGATGACGATCACATGCTCCCTGCTTGGGCCAGCCACCAGACTGTAGCCCAAGCAGACGACACCGACCAAAGTGGCTTCTCCATCGGCGATGAGCTTCTCCAAGAAGTGCACGTCACGCCATGGGTCGTCGGACTTGTCGACAGCGACTCAGTGTTGCTGCAAGCCAAGACTCTTGCACAGAACAGGGAGGCCCAAAATCACACTAAGTCAGGTCCAAGCTACGCTGCTCCATGATGAGGTCAGAGGGATCCTGCGGGCACAGCACAACGGCTTTGGATTTAAAATTTGAGTGAAGTGTGACATGGACTCTCAAAATCGTAAACGCGGTCCGGCCATGACTCACGGACGTCGTACTGCGCAGTGCAGCAGCCATAGATCTCCTGGATGTTCTTCACGACGAGATCCTCATCCTTGCCGACAGCGACCACGATGCCACGAAGTGCCATGGCTGCAGCATGCAATGCACTTGTGGAGCTACTCGAATCTAGCCAGAATGTGAGCATGAAAGTACCAGTGCCTGTGTTATTACTAAGTACTAGGAGGGGCTTTTAAAGCCTTTTGAAAAATACTGGTAGGTAGGATCCTCCGAAGCCTAATAAGAGCAAATACCAAATGTCCCATATTCAAAGCCCTATCTAGAATTTAGGTCCTAGATTTCCAGTATTATTGTTATTAAAACTGTTTTTATTTTATCAATACCTTTATGGCTAGGAGCTGTATGTTCTCATCCGCTGCTCCGACGTCTCCTGCTGCCACCACAAATGCTGCTGCTACTGCTGCTACTGCTGCTACTGCTGCTGCTGCTTACTGTGTCTGCGTGCATGTCATGTCCCCGTGACCTCGTGATTCACTGGCTGACAGCTGCGGCCACTCGCTCAAAACTGGCTCATGTCCCAAGTCAAGGCAACCAATGGTCCAGGCATGAGACAGCAGAAAGGCACCTGGACTCGAGTCGAAGGCGACAGCGATAATGTAGATGGCGTGCATCGACCATGACCTGTCATCCCATGCATATCCAATCATTCCACTGATAGGGCCACACCAGCCTCAGGACGACAACGACAAGGAAGACCATCAGCATCTCGACGATGGACCTTCAGATTGAGCTGCTTCTATAGATGCGTGCTGAAAGCAGGGCTCAGCCCGATGCATCCATGTGCAGTCGATGAGGTCAGCCACCCTCCTCATGCCAAGAACTGCTCAATTG